CAAAAACGTGGTGGTTAGAGCCAAGCTCCAGCAATCATCCTATTTCTATCACCAGTCAGACTTTCTGGACTTAGTTTAACACAATCCCATTTTTTTCCCAATCGGAATAAAATTTTCAAGTTTTTCCTTCAAAATTTCTCTTATTTTGCTTTACTATGTCAAGCGATTTCACGTAAAATGTTCTCTGCAATGAAATTAAGCTTATAGACAAGAATTTTCAACCATAATCTTCACCAAATAAACTTCTTCTCTTTTCTCTAACCTGATATATGATTTTCTATTCAATCCAGCATTTTTCTCGCTAGCATCCATCTACACCACATCTATGTATTGGATTGTTAACTTGCAACATTCACTTAATCCAATGTAAATGATAATATCAAGATGGCTGTTTTATAATCTTCAAGCCATACTCTAACATAGTCATGTGTTGTTCTTTTACTACTTCCATTACTCTTCTTACTAATGGACTGTTGTCTAAGCTGTCGAAATCCTTCAACATGTGGGAACAGCTTGAAAGCGGTGTCCGGGCAAATTCGACTGTGGGCTTTTCACTTTTTGTGGACCGTTTCAACGTGCTGAGCACTATCGTCAATTACGATAAAATTATCAAGAAAATTTTTTTTAGCCCTTTCTGGATTGAGGGGACGAGTGGCAGAAGCGCAATGTCAAACTTTCGACTTTCGGTCCCCAATTGTATGCCTTCCTCGCTAAAGACCACTGCTTTTGGGAGAAACCAAACACGGGTGGTGTCGGAAAAATGATCACTGCATGGGCGGAGCGAACTAAAAGGGGCGGGCTGACCTAACGCCTGGGGCGAATTTCTCGCTTACCATGGCGAAATATTCACCTGGATTTAGGGACTAGCATAGTCAGACAGACGACATCATTTTCTGATAAGAACTCGAAATTTGGTTTTGTGCGGACTCTGCCTTGAGGTATTTACTTAGTTGCACAGGATTCAGGCTTCAGGGATATGTTGTCAAATTCTTTCAAAGACTTTTCAAATGTTTCCTTGGAGAGTTTTAGACAAAATCTTACAAATTGCTGGAAAAAAACCAACTGGTTCTTGACACTCGACAAAATCAAAATTTTGCAAACAAACGAGCTCTCAAGAGGACGTCAATAGATGTAGCTCAGCGATGGACAGACATTTTGGGCTCACACTTCCCGAGGAAATTTCAAGGGCGTCATATTC